CTAAATGTGTAAACTGCTTTTCTTGAAAAGCACTGTGTCTTATATACTATGAGGTGATATGTTGGCCTTTTTCAACATGCAAGTTGAAGTTGTTGTCATTGTGTGTGATACTGCATAAACTTGGTCTTTCTCTTCCAGCCCCCCTCCCACATGCTCCATCATCACCTGCCTCTTGACAGGAGGTTTCAAGAAAGTAAATTATGGGATGTTTCCTGGTTAAAAATACAGGGTGGATTCATCTCCCCTTTCTGCCTGCCGCATGGGTTTGGTTGCCAGTTAGCAGCACAACAGAGCATGTTCCATGCCACTTTAGGAGAAGTATTGTTAAATAGTTTATTTCAAAGCCTCAGGTTGCCTGCTTTTTATAAACCCTTTAAGTGTGCGAACCTTCCTCGTTAATGCATGTTCATTTGAGATAGGTGGGAGATTAAGGCTCCCTCGTAGCAAAAGCATAATGAATGAAAGGCTGTTAAAATAACTGTGCATTGTGGACTTGAGCAGCAGCTTTTTCAAAAGATCCCAACATTTTTAGTAGACTTCTTTATTTCTCCCTGCAGAAAGAAGTCTGCAATTGTTATTTCAGTATCTAAGTTTGCATACCTCTCTCTCTTTCTCTGTTTTTCTGAAATATTTAAAAAGTATGTTTACATTTCTGAAGTTCTCTTGTGGTCAGGAAGATCAATTTCACTGTTTTATATAGGCCTTTACAATTCACATTCCCCTTAAATTCACTTGAAAACTGGTAAGTTAATGTGTTAGGTGCAGGTTTCTAATGTTTCTTTCACAGTGGATGGTATCCATTGTGTTGGTAAGTGGAAAATCTTAGGATGTCAGCAAAAAAATGCACTATAGCTCTATTGCAGTTAAAGATGAATTTTAATACAATTTATTGCAGATGTAGTACATTATTTTTTTACGACAGTAAGTCAGTGATTCTGAAAAGTAGAGAATTAAGGCATTTGTGTGGTTGTCTTCAGGGAGTTCCATTGCGGATTGCTGGAAAAAGCAGGCTGGTGTTACATTATTCACTTCACAACTTAATCCTCTAGAAATATGGCAGACTATTGTAGCATTTGAACAGATGTAGCAGCAGGTTTGTTTTTGTTTTGGATTTGCATGCTTGTTAAGTATGGCCTATGGCATTGTAACATAGACTGAAAAAAGAAAAGCTGTTAACAGAACACTTTCCTAGCTTTCCCCCCTCTTGGCAAGATTGTAGCTTTACTGCTTCCATTATTGGCCTCTTTCACACATAAAGTAAACATTAAGTCAATATTTTACTGCAAATGTACTGATCTTGTCCACTTTGCTCCTCCCTGCTTACACTGAGAACAAACAAACAACAACCCCTGGCTTAGTATAATGTCCAAACTACAGTTTGCGGTTTGTTTCACTCTCTAAAAACCACCATAGTTCTTGGCTTGCTTATTCTCGTTCACTGCAGCAAAACAAACCATAACCTGTGGATTGGGTGTAATGGTGAAGTAAGGATCATGAGCTTTCCCACCCCTAAACTATGGTTTACTATTATGTGAGAAATGGGCCATAGTGACTGCGGACTAATTCGCAAGATGCCTGGTGTGGGTGGCACTTTCCATTATACTCATCACAAAGGAATGCCAACTACTGTAGCTACGTAATACCATTGCCCATTTTGTCATGGTAAATAACACTATTGGTCAGCAGCCATACTGAAGCAGCTGTTTAGATATTCTGTGGAGGAGGCCTGCGGAATGCCTGTTTGGGACTTTTAAAGGAATGCCATACTTTTCTTTGGTTTTCTGACGGGTAGGTTGCCAGCTTCTTGGAGGCAACATAATTAGTAAACAATGGGCCTTGTTAGAGGGAGCTGTCGCCATTTATTTAATTAAGGAGTCAAATTCAACGATATAAGCTATGCTAAAGGTCAGTGTTGGATAGTTTCCTTGCTTTTGATATGTTTGGTAGAACATTTTCAGCAGTTCTGAGATAATGAGCAGTTTGTAATCCACAGCTCTGTGCTGCTTCATTCTTATTAATTCAAGGGAAAACAGCGGTTGGTGCACCATGCTAATAATTGTTCTAAAGCTATCCTTTTATGCTCTTTCACCGTATTGTAGAATTTATTAGAAGGAAACTGAAGTCAGTTGTGAACATCTCAAATATGCAGACTCACTTAATATTGCATCTTAACTCCCTTCCCCACCACCACCCAATATTCAAATAACTGTTGTAATAGAGTGCAGGAGTGTAATTGGTTTAGCTTAATCGGCAACCTGTGAAGTACTGTAGCTCAGTGATGTAACTCTAGCACAAGTCCTGCATATGGACAGTCCAGGTCCTGCAAAAACATTTAAGGTAGCAAACCTTGGAAAGATCCCGATCTGAGACCTTGGAACTAGAGCAGCTCCCCAGTGATGAAAATTTACAGCATTTTGGGCTTTTTAGTCTGGAATAGAGGAGGGATGTGAGTTACATAAAAGTATGAATGGTCTCATCTAATGAAACTTGAATATAGGAAGATGAAAGGAACAACATCTTCACACACTGGGTAGTTAAGCTGTGGAATTTGCTATCTCATGGTATAGCGATGGGCACAAACATGGATGGCTTTAAAAGGGGTTTAGAGAAATTTGTGGAGGATAAGACTGTCAATGGCTGCAAGTCAATATTGGAGGCAGTATACCTATGCATACCAGTTGCTGGGGAGCATAAGTGGGGAGAATGCTGTTGCCCATGGTTGTGGGCCTTCCTTGTGCATCTGGTTGTACATTTTGAGAACAGGAAGCGGAAATAATGGGCCTTTGGTCTGGTACAGCAAAGCTCTTATTCTTATGCTGCCAGTCAGCTGTCTACTCTTAAGCAATATTCAATGGGACTTACTTCTGAGTGGAAATGCATAGCACTGTGGAACCATGAAGTCTCCAATTCAAGTCATGGTTCTGCTATAAATTCACCAAGTGAACATAGGCACCCTATCCTCTCTGTCTCCAAATCCCAATTCCCTGCCGCCAGTAATAGCACAATATCATATGTGTGGCAAAATTTTCATATCTTACAACCACTATGTAATTAAATGCTAAGCCTGAAGTTTCCCCACCCTGGATTTAGAGTGCTGTCTGCACTATTAACTATGATGCTGTCTCTCCCTGACTCTGCTGCATTTTTCAGCAGAGTAACCCAGTCCCTGATAGTGGTCCATCCAGATACAGTGGTACCTTGGGTTAAGAACTTAATTCATTCTGTAGGTCCGTTCTTAACCTGAAACTGTTCTTAACCTGAAGCACCACTTTAGCTAATGGGGCCTCCTGATGCCGCCGCGCCACCACCGCACGATTTCTGTTCTCATCCTGAAGCAAAGTTCTTAACCCAAGGTACTATTTCTGGGTTAGCGGAGTCTGTAACCTGAAGCGTCTGTAACCTGAGGTACCAGTGTATTAAGGGGCTACGCAAGAGAAGATGCATTTGGTGCCCTTTAAGGGGGGGAAAGATGGGGTCATGCTGCCCTCACAGGGCCAGTGCTGTATGGGTGGGATCTAATTTGTCCTCACAGCACTGTTGCAGCAGCAGAGACATCCATCCACTAACAGACGAGGCAAGGGGAATTTTTGCTCAATTTCCTCTACCCCTGTAGAGGAAATTTCCCTGCAAGTCTTTTCTCTCCTTTCCTCCTTTGTCAGCAGACACTTCTGCTGAGTCAAAATGCCAATTGTATATACAGCCTTGTGTCTGTGGAAGCACAGTCCTTGTTGGTTTAAGGCAGGAATTGGAAAGTGTGGAAGTCAATTCTTTCTTGAAACAAGCTGTGTTGTGCTGCTGTCTGCTTCCCTGCAACATCTTGTTTCTTCACTGGGTGGACTGAACTAATCCTTGCTTGCGGCGAAGGAAGATGAGTGAGGGATGTGCCCTGGGCTTGCATGAGCTGGGTGTTTGGAAGAAGTAGATCTGGTCTCCAGAATCAGCCTTATGCAGATCTGTTCATACAGTGCCAAAATATAACCTATGTCCAGTTTTAGCAGGGTATTTTCTCAGTTGTTTCCTGAAAAGGAACTGTTTTCATGTGATAACTGATTCAAGCCACTGTGTCCTGTAGGGTATACAGTTGTTAATGTTTGGGGGGGAGGGAGGAGAGAGAGAGTTTGCAAACATGTTATGACAAAGCCTGGTTAAAGTACAGTGTACACAGCATGGTATCAAAAGCATTAGGGAAGTATGCTATAATGTTCCCTTCAGGGCAGGCTTTACACAGGGTTGCCAAGTAACTAATCCTGCCCACTGTTCAGATTAAGATTTTGCAAAACCCCTGTTGGTACACAGCTTTCTAGTATGGTTTTGCTCTTGCAGTATACAAAAACTTACATTTCCCTCTCCTCCACATTAAGTTTTTAAAATGAAAGTATTGTTACATACTAATCACCGTAAGACAAAATGTGTGGATGAGCTATACAATTAGGATGCAGTTTATTCCAGTTAATGTTGTGTGTAATCTCTTTATTATTTATTTCTCATAATTGCACCGTCTTGCAGTTTGTTATATTTAGGCTTGTCCACTTCCATAACCAAACAGAAATAACTGGCGTCCGAGTTTCTTTTCTGTAAGTAAATTAAGCAATCACTCTTAGGTTGCAGCATGCCACTTTAAAGAGGCACTGCAACACATACTTACTCATTGGGGACTAAATGGGATTCATTTGTGAGTAAACATGCATAGGATTTCTCAGAACAGAAATTTCTGAAGGATCCAATGTAGTTTAAACATTGGGCCAGATCCAGAGAACCACATGCTATCCCGTCTACTTCTCCCCACTGAAGCCCCGCCCCACCTGAAAAGCCTCCTTGGAAGATCAAATGCAACATAAGATGGTGCATGGGTACCGTATATACTCAAATATAAGCTGACTTTTTCAGCATATTTTTTATGCTGAAAAAGCCTGCCTCGGCTTATACTCAAGTGAGGTGGGTGGCTGCAGAGGGAAGAGAAAGGAGCCCTTTCTCGCCGCTCGTCCCTCTGCCCGCCTCTCGCAAGGGCAGGCACAGGAGCTGCGGCTGGGAGAGGCGCTGTGCTGTGCCTCTCCCAACCGGGCTCCTATGCCTGCTCTTGCAAGCGGCAGAGGCGGCGGTGGAGGGACGAGCAGCTGCTCCTTCCTCCTCCACCGCCTTTTCCACTGTCGGCGGCAGCAGAGGAGGAGCGAGCAGCCTGAAAGCAGCCTTTTCGGGCTGCTTGTTCTTCCTCCTCCGCTGCCGCCACCACCAGGTTTGCGGCTTATACTCGAGTCAATAAGTTTCCCCAGTTTTATGTCCTAAAATTAGGTGCCTCGGCTTATATTCGGGTTGGCTTATACTCAAGTATATACAGTAACTACAGTGGTACCTCTGGTTACGTACTTAATTCGTTCTGGACGTCCGTTCTTAACCTGAAACTGTTCTTAACCTGAAGCACCACTTTAGCTAATGGGGCCTCCTGCTGCTGCTGTGCCGCCGGAGCACGATTTCTGTTCTCATCCTGAATCATAGTTCTTAACCCGAGGTAGTATTTCTGGGTTAGCAGAGTCTGTAACCTGAAGCATATGTAACCTGAAGCGTATGTAACCCGAGGTACCACTGTACTGGTAGAAGGAGTAATTGACCAACATCACAGTAGAGGAACCTTGCATGAACAGCAATATAGAGACATAGAAAGCTGTTGTGCTAAGCCAGACCACTGGTTTGTCTGGCTCAGCCTATGATACTTTCCAGAATTTCAGACAGTAATCTCTCCCGGTCCCTCCTGGACATGCCAGTGATTGAAGGTGGAACCTTCTGCATGCAGAGCTGTTGCACTACCACTGAGCTACAGCCCAAACTTCTCCTACAAACTTCTTCCATCCTTTTGGACAATTTCCCACTGCCACTTAAGTTACCAATGTCTCATCCTGCACTGTTCAGGAGTATCAACCAACCCGCCAAAAATGAGTTTCAACTTAGCTTTTCCCACCTGCTTTACAGTTCTCATCGCTGGACCAATTATTGAAAATGCTAGGGAAACAATGGATCATACTTGTACAGAACAACCTTATGCATGTTTCCTTCTAGAAAATCCTATTTAGATCCCAAGTAAGTGTGCATTGGCTTGCAACTTTAAGCAGCATGCTACAGGCCAAACTAAGTATATATGGTATTCGGTACCGTAATTTCTTTACAGAAAGTAAAATTAATTATTTTAATAAGATACTGGAAATAAATGTCGAACTTCCTTCTGCTCCAGGTTTTCTGGATCCAGCCCAATGTCAACAACAAAATGGACTTTGTTGTGAGCTGGCCTTGGAGTTTTATGAACTGAATGTTAACAGAATGTTAACAGAACTACTGGGATCTGCCTTGTAGGTTGGCACCAGCCCCATCAATTTGCACAGGGAGAGTATTTCATCTTTTATTAACTGTGTAGTCATTGTTTATATGCTCCATTTTTTTTAAAAAAAAAGTACTCAAAGAGGTGTACAAAAAATAACAGTATAAGTACAATAATAACTTACTACTTAATAAACTTTAGCATATTGGTACAGCACTAACAGTTCAACAATTAATTTAAAACATGTCAAAGAAAATTAAGTGAGCCTAAAGCTTACCAACAGGCTGTTTAATTTCCAAAGCTGTCTTAAAATTAATGACAGCAGTAGCCAGCAACCCACCCATTTTATATACCTAGACCATGGGTAGGCAAACTAAGGCCTGTGGGCTGGATCTGGCCCAACCACTTTTTAAATCTGGCCTGCAGACGGTCCAGGAATCAGCATGTTTTTACATGAGTAGAATGTGTGCTTTTATTTAAAATGTATCTCTGGGTTATTTGTGGGGCATAGGAATTCGTTCATTATTTTTTTTCAAAATATAGTCCGGCCCCCCACAAGCCCTCGGGACAGTGGACCGGCCCCCTGCTGAAAAAGTTTGCTGACCCCTGACCTAGACTCAAAAGTCCAGAACCCCCCTCACAGTACTTCTGGCAGCTGTTCCCTTATCAAGGCTCCTGTTACAGGTGGATGAGACATGACAGGTGTAAGCATCCATTCCCTGCCCCCGCCCTATAAGGTATGTGTCAGGGGCTGGCAGGACACTGACAAGTGTGCACCAGGAGAAGGGGGGCTGGAGTCTGACTCGGGAGACGAGGGCAGTGATCTGTGGGGGCCTGCACAAGCCAAGAGACAGGAATCAGAGGCAGGGGAAGCTTCAGAGCTGGGGAAAGAGGAGGAAAAGGCAGGCCAGGCAAGTGAAGGACCGGGTGTTTCCCCACCCTTCCCTGCACCACTGTCTCTTTGAACCAGGAGAGAATTGAAGCAAGAAGATCAGAAGCAGCTTCCATTCAGGTGTAGTCTCCAACAGTGTACAACATATAATCATTTCCTAGGAATGGAAAGATAACATGTGGTATGCTCTGCCAGAACTTACTGGCGTACTGCTAAGATTGGCACATGCCCAATAGAAAATCCTGAAGAATGTTGCATACCGTTGAGAGATTGTTGTTGTGGTGGTGGTGGTGGTGGTGGTGGTGTCTTGGGATGTGAGTGGCGCTGTGGGTTAAACCACAGAGCCTAGGACTTGTCGATCAGAAGGTTGGTGGTTCGAATCCCCGCAACGGGGTGAGCTCCCGTTGCTCAGTCCCTTCTCCTGCCAACCTAGCAGTTCGAAAGCACGTCAAAGTGCAAGTAGATAAATAGGTACTGCTCTGGCGGGAAGGTAAACGGCGTTTCCGTGCACTGCTCTGGTTCGCCAGAAGTGGCTTAGTCATGCTGGCCACATGACCCGGAAACTGTACACTGGCTCCCTCGGCCAGTAAAGTGAGATGAGCGCCGCAACCCCAGAGTCGGTCACAACTGGACCTAATGGTCAGGGGTCCCTTTATCTTATCACCTCCATTGATGTGAAAAATGCCAACAAGAAGCTGTTTGCAAAGTTGAACGTGGCATGGTGGTTCCACTAATGGATGCTGCTGTTAAGCAGCATATAAAGAGAGTAACCTATGAGAGCTTGGTCACACCTGGGACCAGACAGTGCTTCCTTCATTCTGCAGTCGGATTATGGGCTTTATATAAATCAGTCCCAGACGTTTCTCAGATTTGCTATGAGCTGCCCTCTTGTGGCCACACAAAAGGCTTTCAGAAGTGCTGCAAGTGGGGGGGGGGGTGGCTTTCCATGCACAGCTATGCTCCCTTGTGAGGGGAAATGGTCCGGCAATTAAGTTCAGTAACCTGAAAACATTCAGCATAGATGCTTATTAAATTAAAATCTAATGTCGCCTTTTAAATGCCAAAGTTTTACTTTAGCTAATGGGGCCTCCTGCTGCTGCTGCGCCGCCGGAGCACAATTTCTGTTCTCATCCTGAAGCAAAGTTCTTAACCCGAGGTACTATTTCTGGGTTAGCGGAGTCTGTAACCTGAAGCGTGTGTAACCTGAAGCGTATGTAACCCGAGGTACCACTGTATAGAGAACAGAAATCGTGCTCCGGCGGCGCGGCAGCAGCAGGAGGCCCCATTAGCTAAAGTGGTGCTTCAGGTTAAGAACAGTTTCAGGTTAAAAACAGACCTCCAGAACGAATTAAGTTCTTAACCCGAGGTACCACTGTACTGACTCTCCAGAGCTGTACTGCTGTCTGCTCTCAGCACGACCCAAAGCCACCAGGGGTGGAGAGGCTGCATATGTATTGCGGTGTACATAGCAGTATCACTATCTAATCCTTTGGACTTGACTTTTGGCACAGTTGTCAAAAACCTTGGCCACTGCTATGCTTCTTGAAGAAGTACATTTCTTTTCCAGATATGGGAAATATTTCAGATTCCAATGTGTCAGACTCACATTTTTATGTGCCTGAGATTTATCTGCCCTCTTTCTGTATATATTAGCAGCAAGTTGTGGGACTAGTACAGCTATAAAAGTTTGTTTTTATAGAATGATTATCCTGTGTAAAACTGGAAATCTGTGTGACTTGCCTTTAAAAGCAACATTCTTTCTTGCCAGAATCAAGTTAAGCAAAATGTATATGCATTGTTCTGAATGTATATACTGTATTTAAGCTGCATGGCCTTTTATTTCTTGGATAGTTCTCTTTTTTTTAAGCTCCTTTTTTCTTTAAAAAAGAGTTTAGACACTGTTGTGTTTCACGTGCTGTTCGTCCTCCCGTTTTAAGCAGCAAATTGCAACTCCATCTGAACCATTTCCTGTTTAAACAAAGAATGAAAGGGAAAAGGGAATAACATTAACTTCCTGAATGACAGCATTCCAGTTCTGAGACTGGCCACGATGCAGCTGCCAATCAGAAACAGGCCTTGGAGGGAAGCGCTGGGATGCTGTTTACATGTTCTGTGATTTCTCCTTCTCGCTTCTGATGTCGTCCAACTTGGAAAGTTCTCTTGGTTTGTTGCTGCTACATGTCTGTGTAAATAGCTAGGACTTTAATTCCCACATCAAATGGAAATCGAACTAAAAGGAAAGGGCTGCTTGTACCTCTGTAGCTTCAGGTAAGGTGATTGCCAGGTTAAATTGTTGTGATGAAAGAGAGAGCTTTTCTTGTGTCTCTGAGCAGCTTTTTATGATTGTGGCTTGAAAAGTTGTCGTTAAACAGCAATGTTAGTTTTGATGAAATACAGTGAAAAGCATGTCAGAAATAAAAGGCAGAAGTGTCGTGTTGCTGTAGTATAGATGTAATAGTGGTGTTTATAAATTGAAAATGTATTGGTTGCTGGGGAATAGGTGGTAAATCACTTTATTGTTTTGTCTAGCAAAAAAGAAAGACCAAATAAAGACTGAAAACTACACAGAACTAGAGGCAATATTTCATCTGTGCAATGTAGAGGAATGTGCTTATATGTTGTCTTTGTGCGCATAGTGTCAACATTTATATTAATGCAAGATGGTGTTTAAAAAAAAATAAACCTGGTTTGACATGAACTAAAAGAACTTTTTTGGTTAAGAATTTCATTAAGTTAGAAAAGCATTTTTAGAAGATTGGTTTTAATACAGAAAAGGAACATTGATTGGTGTGTGTGTATATATATATGCATTTGTTGCATTTATAAAATATAACATACTTATATAGCCTTCCAAAAAGGAACGGGGGGGGGGGGGAATTGTG